TGTGAAAATGGCAATGTATGAAAAATATGCTTTTTTTGTCTAGCGTCTTTTTTAGCGTATTTATCGCTTTTAAAGAAGTAGATCATTTTATACTATATGTCATTGGATAGACCATTTCATAAGCAATTAAATCATATATAAACTCATCAAAAAAATACTACACCATCATAATAAAAAAAACCAATTATTTACTGATACTAAAATGTGCATCAATCTATTATTAACGAGGGAACCCCAAGAAGTGATTAAACGCTTTTTGCTCGGAATCTAGTGGGTGATAGGTTATCGACCATGCTGATTACGAAAACGATCATGCGGCTTCCGCATAGCCTTTCAAAGACCTGGTTTTCTAGAAAACGAATTTTTCGGAAACCCCAAAAAATAACCCGAACCATTCTTAATGAGGCACTGTTGATACCCGTTAATCTATTCACAGAAAATCATATTTGCTGAGGATGATTGAATATCCAAATTAAAATGTTAGAGCTCACCCAAGATGTTGGGCAGGCGTGGAAATAAGACGTGGTCCGAGCTGGATTTTCTGATTTTGCAACTCTATCCACGTTTTCTTCTAAAGAGCTAACCACTTCATTCTAGCGCCAAAAGGTTCGCTGTCTCGTGCACTACAAAGTTATGCCACGTTTGCTCCGAAAAATGTTTTCGTTCGGAAGATATGAGCAAAAGATTACAAAAATGTGATTTGGGCGGGAAATCCTTCAGGTGATTGGTCCTTAACTCACGAGGGAACCCCACGAAGTGATTAAAGGCTTTTTGCTCGGAATCTAGTGGGTTATAGGTTATCGACTATGCGGCTTCCGCATAGCCCTTCGAATACCTGGTTTTCTAGAAAACGAATTTTTCAGAAACTCCAAAAAATAACCCGAACCGTTCTTAATGAGGCATGATTGTAGCCCGCGCATTTCGGATTAAAATGAGACCTCTCCCAACTCCACATGACCTTTCTTTGCAAAGTTATAGAATTTACACGAAGAGCCCTAAATTAATTTCTTGTTATTTCTGTAGCTTTTAGCTGACAATGAACATTTAGGGCTTTTGTTGGAAATTCTATAACTTTGCAAAGAAAGGTCATGTGGAGTTGGGAGAGGTCTCATTTTAATCAGAAATTTGCGGGCTACAATCATGCCTCATTAAGAACGGTTCGGGTTATTTTTTGGAGTTTCTGAAAAAATCGTTTTCTAGAAAACCAGGTCTTTGATCACTGTTTTTATCATTGCTCTTGTCATGCAGAACGTTGAGAAACGATGAAAAATAAGATTGTTTTGCGTAACAAAGGCAACACACTTTTAACTGAGATGTGAAGAAGCTCAAAGGAAATGGCAACGTTTATTATTTATAAAAAAAGAAATGTAAACTGTCCACATAGAAACCAACAATGTACCTCAAAACGTTTTATTTTACGAAAACTGCTTCATTCCTTAACACGTCGTTGTCTACTTATAACAGAGTCATCTCACAATGAAGTGTTTCTGTGAAATAAAACAGAATCATAAGATTTGATGGCGTAAAGATGAGTGACAAAGCTCATTTAATATTTTGTATAGTTTTCAGCACTGTCTATCCGATGTGCACAGCGAAAATATGATCCTCACTCTCACCATCAAAACTCTGTATGTCGATAGTGATTAAGGTAAGTCACCTGAGTGGCTCACTCTTATAGCTGGCTACTCACCTGTCCACAACATTTAGTGTATAATTATAAGGTGCCAGTAATTCAAAGTTTCCACAAGTTTTATTGTTCATTTTAACACACATATTCGGATTCTCCGCGAGTTGCTGATCACGAATCTGACCTGTTTTTTCGATTTGGCTTAGTCTTTCTGGAGAAAAATGCAAAACACTGATGGTAGGTCGAAAACACGAAAGACGCTGTTTTTTTCGAAGACAGTCCACAACTTTTTCGAGCCAACAGATGAAGCTCTAAACGTTTTTTCAAACGATTCTCTATTAAAAACTGAGCATGTTAATGTGTCTTTTAAAATGTTAGAGCTCACCCAAGATGTTGGGCAAGCGTGGAAATAAGACGTGGTCCGAGCTGGATTTTGCAACTGTATCTACGTTTTCTTCTAAAGAGCTAGCCACTTCATTCTAGCGCCAAAAGCTTCGCCGTCTCGTGCACTACAAAGGTATGCCTCGTTTGCTCCGAAAAGTGTTTTCGTTGGGAAGATATGAGCAAAAGATTACAAAAATGTGATTTTGGAGGGAAATCCTTCAGGTGATTTGTCCTTAACTCAGTCATATTTCCTTCAAATGAGCTGAAACGTTGGATTTCTAGCATTTAGCAGATGCTGAATCCAGTACAAATGGTTTGGGAAGGTTTCCAGTTCAACAAAGGGGTTATACCCCTTTTTCTACACAAGTGTTTTCGATAGAAAAGAGTTTTCGAAGCAATTGATTGTGGTAGGTTATTTACTTGCTTTTCAGTAACAAAAATAAACGAAAATAAAGGCAAAATGCAATGGTTTTTAGCTATCTGCACCGTATCTCTGAAGTGTTATGAATTTTGTTGATTTCTTCGTATGAAAGTACAAAAAATTTTTTTTATGTGACCCTGACTAACGTCAAGAGCATTATCGATATATTTACAGAGAAAACAAGAAATATATATTATTCCTTTCGACTATAAACACAATGGGCTGCAATAGCCAATGCTCTTTGTTTCTGTTCTTTTGTCAAAAGACAAGGAAACAAAGCGAGTCCTAAGAGTCAGGATACTTTTGGTCGGTACTGTAATATGAAATCAAAAATAACAGCTTAACTTTATTCAAATTATAATATGAGATCACTTTATAGAAATATTTTATTAATAAGAGAAAGAACATGTCGCAATAGTTTAATGAATCATGTTCATTCATGCATAACCACTTTCTATTCTTTTCTTGCAATAGAATGTTCTCTTTCTTAGTTTCGGTCACATCATATATTCGCAATTTCTGTATAACTCCTGTACGATGGATAAAAACATTAAAAAAGAAAAAGAAATAGTTCGACATCCAAAAGAAAATGGGTTAAGCGAATTTTATTTGGCATGTAGAAATGGTGATTTAGATATGGTTAAACAAATGTTACCAAACATAGCGTATTCCGAATTAAATCGATTAGAATCAAATGATTCAACGTCATTACATGAAGCAACATTGTCTGGGCATAAAGAAATTGTATGGCTTCTACTACATGAACGTGGTTGTCAACGTCATCAACGTAATAATCATGGTCTAACTGCTTATGAAGTAGCAAAAACAGATGAAATGCGACAATTATTTCATCGACCATCAAACATAAATCGATTTTGTGATAATTTAGATCAAGATATGCAACTAACATTTGAAATTATTTCTTTAACAACAAATGATAAAGCATCACAATCACACGACGCTAAGGATGACGCAGACGAAAATGATGAAATAATGCCTGGAGGATTCGTTCAAGGTTTACAAACAAAAGAAGAAATACAAAGAGCATTGGCTTTTGCAGCCCATTGTAGGGCGTGTTTACAATCAAAAGGAATGATATATATTTCTTGTTTTATCGGTAAATATATCTATAATAACCATCATGATCATAATAAACATGTTAAACAGAAAGAATTTTATAATTCTTTTATTGACAAAACATTTAGAATAACAGAACTACAGAATATTATTGATACAGAAGTACTATTTACTCATCCAGAATATGAGAAATGTAATGAACTTTTGTCAATATATTCTAACAGTGGAAAATGTGAATCTTTATTACAATTATATACATTGGAAACACCGTTTTATAAAAAATTACGAGAAAAACAAGTTTTACCACTATTTTCATGTATAGCTCTAAATCTACCATATTTAAAACGACGATATTTTCGAGGTGAATCCTATCGAGGTGTAACAATGACCAACGATGATTTACGTTCATATCGTTGGGCACTAAAGAATAATGATAGACTTATACAAATAAAAACATTTGCATCAACATCGACTGATCGAGAAATAGCTGAAAGTTTTGCTCAATCATTAGAAACATCGTCGATAGAGAATAAAATAAGTGTTTTAATGACATTTCGTTTTCCACAAGTGTGTGACACAGCAATCAATTTAGGTAAAATACCGAAATATGATCTTCCATGTTTATCTGAGTATGAAGATGAATCCGAAATCTTAATATTACCATTAACATTTTTCCGAGTTAAAAATATTGAAATAAATAATTTATCAAATGGAAGACAATTGCTGTACATAATTCGTTTGGAAAATGTATTATTTGAAAAAGCCTCAGTACTTCATACATTACCTGCATATATGAAATTATGTATAAAACATGAATATAAAAAACAGAAAGAAAAACATCATATTTAAATAATTGTGGATACATTCGTTGTATAACATGACTAACTATATTTTCTTACTTGAGGAACTCCTATTGATCTGAGCTTTATTTATTTCTCTAAGTAACAAGAAGAACATATAACGTCCGGCATTGAAACAGAAAACCCATTATCTCAGTGACAGGAAAGGCTGGAGCCAATTAAGCGAAAAAAGCAATAAAATAAGTTAGTTAATAATACGAATACTCGAGGATGTATGATGAAGAGCACAAAAATAAGATTATGATAAAATAAAAAAAGAGCGATCGTTAATAGCAGTTAAAAGGTTTCCATTTTTATCTAGTATGGGCATAGATTCAACAGAGCTTTTACCACCACGTAGTCGGCGAATAAGCGCGTATGCTGTTGTAGGATCACTCTCTTTGACTGCATTTTCTACTTCTAAACTGATGTTATCCCAATACGGATTTTGTCGTTACTGCACTTTTCACTTTACGAGAAATACCGCAAAAGAACATCTCTTATATCTATCACAGAAACATGGCTTGATTCTACAATTCCAGATAATGACATTTCTCTAAATGGATATAATATCGAACGTTTAGATAGAGATAGAAAAGGAGGTTGCACGCTTTATTATCAAAATCATTTGACAATAAAACGGTTAACGAATTTAGAAAGTAAGAATATTGAAATAATGTTTTTTGAGATGTTAATCCCACAAATTGGTCGAGTATTCTTCACATTAAATTATCGCATGCCAAGTATGGATAATGATGAGATAGATCTCTGTATACAATTCTTAACAGACACAATATATGACGTATTTCAAAACCAAAATTTCGATGCTTTTCTGTTGACTGACGACTTTAATGCTCATTGTGAGAACTGGTGTGACACACATCCCTCCACAGTTGCAGGAAAAGCGTTTTTTGATTTTTGCGAAACACTAGAAACAGTAAATTTTAAGCAATTAGTACGCGGGCCAACAATAATTAATACTGACCGTCAAATGAAGACAGCGCTTGGCCTCGCATTCACCAGTTCTAACACCATAGTTCATAAAATATAAATAGAAGATCCTTTATGTGTCACCTGTGATCATAACATTGTTAAAATTTTAATTAAGTCAAATACTGAACGCTCTGCACTGTTAACACGAAAAATCTATAACTGTAAAGCCACAGATTGGAATTTCTACCGTTAGACTTTGGTTCAAATTCTTAACATATCAGCTATTCCCTTTTATAACTCTACATGTATAAACGAAAGAGTAAAAATTTTGGAATCGAGAATTTTGCAGGCAGCCGATAACTGTACACCAGCAGAAATTGTTCGACTATTTTCAAATGATCAACCATGGTTTACACAACCTCTACGTTTTTTGTACAGAATATATAAAGACAATTCTTCTCCCTCCTCTGTTGAAAACTATAAGAAAGCACACATGAGTTTGAAAAAGCATGTACCGACGAAAAACAAATATTTAGAGCACATACGGCAAACAAACGCGTTGAAAAAATCATGGTGGCAGTTAGTTCAGTCTCTCTTCAAACGTACACGATCAACAAACATTTCTGTCATAAAAGACGACAAAGGTAACGCTTGGTCGAATGACATATCAAAAGCAAATATCTTGAACCGCTATTTCGCCAATATTTGTACGATGTAATAGTGAGTATAACAAAGGCATTTCTGCTAATATTATTCTTACAAATGCACTAACGCTCTCTCTTTTTACTGTGCCTCCGAAGTTGAGGAATGTTTAAATAGAGTAAATCCAAATGAAGCAACTAGGCAGGGCATAACATCTAAAATTTTGCTTGACGCTGGTCCAGTAATAGTAAATGATCTCACTCATATTTGCAATTTCTCATGGTCTAACTGTATTTTTCCTGATCAGTGGAAATTCGGAGTCATTCACTCTTTATTTAAGGACGAAGACTGTACACTGCCAACAAATTACAGACCAATAAGTTTGTTACCAGCAATGTCCAAAGTTCTCAAACGAGTAGTTTTTAATAAGTTATATCAATATGTTACAAAGCACAAATTATTAACTCCGCTTCAGTCTGGCTTTATACAAGGTGACTCGACGGTTAACCAACTCGTCGACCTTGTTCATGAAATCAGTATGCACTTGGATTGTGGTAATTTTACACTAGCCGTTTTTCTTGACTATTCAAAAGTGTTCGATAAGGTATGGCAGAATGCTCAAATTGAAAAAAAAAGGTGTGTCAGATGTGCTAGTGAAGTGGTTCTTCAGCTACCTCAGCAACAGGCATTGTGTCACAGTAGTTAACCGGCAAATATCCGTTCCACTATCAATAAACAGAGGAGCCCCTCAAGGGTCTATTCTTGGACCATTACTGTTCCTTCTTTTCATTGATGATATTTGTTTATAAGTACAGTCGAAAATACGATTATTTGCTGATGACACGTCTTTGTATTACAGTAATAACGACATTTTAAGCGCAACGAGCATCATGAACTCGGATTTAGAAAGTATAAATAATTGGTCTAAATTTTGGCAACTGGCAAGAAAACTCAAAAAAATGTGTAACAATGTTGTTTGGTAAAACCACAAGTATTCCTGCGCTTTTCCTGGATAATTCTCTTCTTCGTTTTGTTAATAAACATAAACATCTTGGCATTTTTCTCACAAATTCATTAGACTGGTCTGTTCACGTTCGTTATATATTAAAAAAATGTAACTATACACTTTATCTTATGCGCAGGTACAGACATATATTGAGTACATCCACTCTGGATCAGATATTCAAATCATACATATTTCCAGTAATCACTTATGCTGATACGGTTTACTCTTTCTTGAAACTGATTCATTCAAAAACAACTTTCATTAATATAGTAACATCCTATCTAAAATCTATTTATGATTTACAGTATAAAGCAGGTCTGATCGTCAGTGGAACAATGCAGTTATCATCGAGAGAAAAGATATTTGAAATTTTGGGATGGCTTTCATTAGAACACATGTATGCAATAAATAAAATTGTTCTCTTCTTCAAGATTAGAAAAGGTCTCACGCCAACTTTCCTGTTTGAACGTATACCAGAGCAGCCAGTGATCACTATATTGTTGCGCTCAAGAGAAAAAGGTCAGATTAACATGTTTCGCACATGCACAGAAAAATTTAAAAACACTTTTTTCCCTGGGGCTGTGAGACAATGGAACTCATTGCCGATCGAACTACATAATATAACAAAATTAAAAACGTTTCGAATAAAAATTCAAGATTTCTTTTCTCCACATTATAACGGGTGCGGCATAAAGAATGTCACCATTTCTATTTTTCGGATAGCTCCGTTGGATTTCAGCGTAGAGAGTTGAGCTTAGTCTCAAACGATTCCTCGTTAAATTGTCGACGGGAATATGTAAAAATCTTCCCTTCAAAGTTTAAATGAGAAAATTCGAACAAATAATACTAAGAAGCTTCAACGTGATTAAGTTTCCCAGAGGTTTCTCTGTTTGAAATTATTTTATATGATAGTATAAATATTCCTGCGGAAACGCATCAGCAGAATGTTGCGAGTACAATCAAGTGCCCTCTTGCTACCAGTGTACAATAAAGTCAGTTCGAGCAACTATTTCGAATGAAAAACTGACTTTTTGTATTTCAGCCGAGAATGTCTGAAAGTTGGATTATTTTGCTTCTTTTATTAGAATATGAAAAGGGATTTAAAGTCCGACGATTTATGTGATTTATCATGCATTACTCTTCAACATAAAGCTAAAACAGTTTCAAAGTTGATTTTCTGATCAACTTATGCAAAGTTTTCTGAATGCCCGAAAACAGTCGTTCTAAAAGCGTGATTTGGTGCCAGAATCTAAAAAAGGCAACGTTCTTTTACAAGCTAGATTTTCATGTGGAACTTTTCAGTTTACAGGTAAAAGGTAGAGCTTGTTGAGCGCTACAAAATGGCTGATTAGTTTTCTTTATGCCTTGAAGTACCAACGAATAAAAAGAGAAAAGATGTTTTTTAGACGGAAAACTTAGTCACGTTGAAGCGTTTCAGTATTATTTGTTCGAATTTTCTCATTTAAACTTTGAAGGGAAGATTTTTACATATTCTGATCGACAATTTAACGAGGAATCGTTTGAGACTAAGCTCAACTCTCTACGCTGAAATCCAACGGAGCTATCCGAAAAATAGAAAGGGTGACATTCTTTATGCCGCACCCGTTAAACGGCCACGTTTCAGGTACAGTGAGCGCAAGTATGATTGTCTTCTCAATCAAATGAGATTTAATTTCTCTCCATTAAATTGTGATCTCTTCCAAAAAGGTTTGAGCACTTATACGTTCTGTGCTTGTGGAAAAGAGGAGTCAGTCAAGCATTTTCTGTTGGAATGTCCACGCTACCAGCATCAAGAAATATACTTCTTTCTGACTGGTCATCTCCAGCTCCTACCGTCTCCTTTAGACTTGCAAATTTACTCTTTTTAAAGCAATTTGAGAATCTAGATAGCTCTAAAGTTTGTAAACTACATCTTCTAGTTACCACCTACATCAAAAAATGTTCACGACTCTCTCCTTTTACTTGTACACTAATCTATCATTTTCAGTTTTAGAAATATGAATAGTTTCAAGATTTTGGTCCTGCTGTTTTATTGCGATTAATTCATCAACTAAGTAAGAAAAATATTTTTCAAATGATAACGTTGAATGGCACTTGTTGCACCAAACTCCACTCCAGAAGAATTATCATCTTCATCGTCACTTTCATTATTACCCAATTGAAGAAAACAATCTCCTAAAACGTATTCTGCCATCACACCTTTTCTATCATCATCCCCATTACAACTGATTGTATCATAGGTAATAATAAATTATATGATAATGGGTCTAATCGCAATGATTTAGCTAATTTATAACAGTCTGTGAACTTTGTTGTTGCACATTATTTCATATTCAAGATGAGAAGATGATAGACGCGAAATTATTTTTTCTTGCTGAGGTATATGCTGACGATCAATAGAACGCGAGACGCTAATTAGTACTCCCATT